AAAAAAAAAAAAAAAAACGAATCTTATTTCTTTATAGAAAATGAGATATCTACGATATACCGATTCACAACGAAAAGAACAGCCTAATCTCATGATAATATTTAAGGTTCATTCAATTATATCTATAGATATTCTTCTTTTTTAGATTTCAGATTAGGATTGGCGATATATTCAAATTTCTCATTATAAAATTTAAAGATATATTATTTCTCGCTCGAGATATCCTCATTTCGGCGGATGGGACGATCTTGTCTCTGGGAGGTCAGATTGTCTTTATTGTAATCTTGTTGGGGGAGGATCGTATTCGTTTGATCGTGATATCCTTGGATATTCAAATCATCCAAAATCGCGTTCTCATTCGAGATATCATCAAATTATGATATATTTTTTCTTATTATCATTTTTTAATATCATAAATAATAAAAAATTGAGCAAATTCGTCGGATAATTGTTATTTTTTGATCCTCTAATCAATTTATTTATGATGAAATTATCTTCAAAAATCGCGCTCTCGTTCGAGATATCTTCAAAATTTCGTTGATTTTATATCGATTTTATCTTCCTGTGCGGAGCGTTCTGAATATTTTTATGATTTAGCTTCAAAAATCGAATTCCCGCTCGAGACGTCCTCGAAATTTCGTCGATTTATCTTCTCAAGAGAGAGATTCTTGGGAGGTCCTTTTGATATAGGATTGATATAGGATTCGTTGGATTCTTTATTCGTATTTTGATCGTTTCAGGAATGGTTTCTATATCAGTTCTATACCAAATTGATTCGTTCAAGATCGTTCTCTTTTGATCAAAATCGCGTTCTCGTACGGAGATCCTTGAAAATTTCGAGAAAAATCGTGCTCCTCTGCGGAGCGTCCTGGAAATTCGAAAGAAAATCGTGCTCTCGTGCGGAGTGCTCTGGATATTAGAAAGAAAATCGCGCTCTCGTGCGGAGTACTCTGGATATTAGAAAGAAAATCGCGCTCTCGTGCGGAGTGCTCTAGAAAGAAAATCGCGCTCTCGTGCGGAGTGCTCTGGATATTAGAAAGAAAATCGCGCTCTCGTACGGAGTGTCCTGGATATTAGAAAGAAAATCGCGCTCTCGTGCAGAGCATTCTGAAAATTTCATTGATTCTTCATTCAAAATCGCGTTCTCGTGCGGGGCATCCTCAAAATTCGGTCGATTTTTCATTTCATATATGATTAGATAGATATATATAGATAGATAGATATTTCTCTGATTTGAGCAGCAATTAGGCTTGGTTTGCCTTTGAGCAATACGAGCAGCGATCTCATTCCCCCGTAGGGCATATGTCCGGATAGAATGAGATGAAAAATGATTTTTATATATCTGAAATATACGAGCCAGATTAGATGAAAAATCTTTTTGCGGAATATATGATTTGTATATTCTGGGCGTATCTCTTGAGACATGAATCTGGAGCAAAGAAGGTCGGAGCTTCCGTGCGGAGCGTACTGAAAATTTTCGCATATATCGTTTTCTTGGGCGGAATTTTCAGAATATCTTGGTTGTTTGCTCGGCGCTTGAGAAGATCTGAATGGTTTTTGACGAGATGCGGACGGAGATAGATGAGGTCTGGGTCGCAAATTTTATATATGTCGTATTTATGGCCAGCATCGTTTTCGACCCTATCAGATTGGCTAGTATATTATAATTTCTTCATGCCTCGTCTTTACGATGCCGCAATTCTTGATTCCTACGTATATATTATTGACGAGATGCTTCAATATCTTATTATTTATATAGATGAAAGGGAGCGGGATCCCTATCTCTTTCTTCAGATTGCCTCTATAAAATATCAGATATCTTTTAATTATTGGCTGCATCATGGTGCCGATCTTAGATATAGAACAGCGGGGGTCATCCGGATTGGATCGCCTTGGAGCGGACGCGGGTTTCGAATGCTAGGCCGGAATTTTGCAATTCTTGATGCCTTCAGCATGGTCTTTCTTGCGGTCGCGTGCTTTCTGAGCCGGGGGTGGAGCTGGACATGAACGTGCACGTTCTCGGCAGGATTCATAGGAGAGAAATCAGTCAGAAGAGGTCGAGATCGCAAGATCATCACTTCTTTCTCCACGCAGCAGGAAGTCTTTGCAAATTTTGCGTGCAAGCTTGATTGGATCGAGGAGTTGACAGGTCTTATGGCATTCCCTGGGAGCCTCATATGAAATGATGAAAGCTAGTTGCACCGCTAGTTGCGCCGCAAGCCGCGGTTGTCATTTTTTAATTTTTGGCGGGAGGCTGGCGGGGCCGCTCGGCGGGGCTGCTTGCAGGAATGCTGCCTGGAGGCTCGAGAAAAGCATTCTTTGTGGATTGTGTGTCTCTTGACCCATCCGGAGTGGAAGCCATCAAGCTGCTAAGGGATCGCTTGATAAGTGGAAAGCCCCGCACCATCCACGCCGCTTGGCAGGAGAAACCCATGATTATTTTCACCGACGGGGCTCTGGAAGAGGACTCAGATCTTGGCGCCCCCGCTACAGTGGGCGGTGTTTTATTTGATCCAAAGAAGCCCGGATATGCCTCGGTGTTCGGATCAATGGTGCCTAGTGAGCTTCTTCAATATTGGCGGTCAGATGGCAAAACTCACGTGATAGGACTCGTTGAGCTCTATGCAGCCATCCTGGCTTTAAGATTCTGGAGGAGGCACCTCGAAGGCCGAAGAATCATCCTGTTCGTGGATTCTTGGCCGGCTCTGGACTCCTTGGTCAAAGGGGATTCTAGTGTGCGCCTCTGGAGAGAGCTGTTGCTTGTGTTGGAAAACCCAGAGGAACGTTTGCCTATGTTTCTTTGGGTTGCTCGCGTCCCTTCAAAATCCAATGTTGCAGACCCACCAAGCCGTGGTTCATTGGATGAGCTTTCAGCATGGAGACTGAATGTTGAGCACCCAGCGTGCCCTCTTTGCAAGAAGACGCTCAACAGCCTTGTCTAGATCTATGCTAAAGCGGACTGGGGAAAAACTATGCAAAATGCTTCCATGGTGAAACCAAGGAGCTACGTGGGGCAAATGTGTCCATTCGTGATTCACCCCCAGTGCGCTGGAAATGAAAACATCCGATCGCCTGCATGCTTGATTGCTATGCTATTGATTGTTTATATTATTGATGAACGATTTGACTTATAATATTTGATGCAAATGTTTTCCGGAATATGCACTCCGTTGTGCTCACCGCTCCTCACGCGGTTAGCCTAGCTACTGCCTGTACATATTTGAGTGATTGTGGAAATTAACATTTCATGCAAATACTATTTTGGAACTCTGGCAATTTCATAAGTCCACTTGATATTGATGAATACAGATTGGACGGCATGTTTTTTTTGGAACGAATTTTGGTGGTGCATGATTATGAAGTAGAGCATTTAGAAATTTCTGTATGGTATCTTGCGGGACATGTATGACGGTCTGCCACTTCGTTAAGCCCAACATGTATGACACTCATGACCCGTATGTTGTTGCTTGCATGGCCGCCATGGCCCAAATTCCAGCATATACTTCTGGAAAGAGCCAAGTGGAAACAGGTATTTCAAAAGCTCAAGGTTTTTGTTGGGGTCTCGTTTCTGCCATTAGACAAGTTTTGCATGGTTGCCAAGTTTTCATATTTTGTTCTGTAACTGTTGCGTCAAAATAGGGGAAGCCATGTCTTGCTTCAACACTGGGCGGCCGCCGACAGCCTTGGCCGAGTTTGCGAAATCGTTGCCTCAAACACAATTGTCGTTGGTGGATGAGGCGCTTGGGGAATTTGTAGCATAGGATCCATTTTCAGTAGTTTTTAATGTTTTTGTTTACAATGCCAAGTCGGTGGCATGCTTCATGATACTCATCCATCTTTGTCCAGGATAGACGGTGTGGTGCTTTGAGCGCAAAGATAATGGTTGATTTCTTTTTCGCTGTCCCATGTGCTGGTTTGAGGGTTTCGCGCAGTATTTGTCCGTATGTTTGCCAGGTTTTTCGCACAAATCCCAAGCTGTCAGATTCCAAATTTGTGAAGCAAATGTGAGGAGTTCCCGGTTTCCTTTCCCATGTATACCGTCCCGGTGGATGCGGTCATGGAGATGTCTGAGATTCGGCCGCATGAGGCTGGGCACTTTCAAGTTGCAAATTGTTTGCATGTAGGCATTTGCAGTGATGGTTTTCCGTGATGTTTCTTCACCTGAAGGACCTGATCCTCATGGCTAAGCGAAGATATGGACACGAGTTTGAGCTTGTATGGAATGGTTAAGTTCACAGATTTGAGGAACCGGGATGCGTGTGTAAGGCCTCATGGGTTCATTTTGTGATCCAATAGTAACTACCAAATGTGTCAATGCTATATGGCAAAAAGGTATGCAACTTTTGATCTCGCATTTTTTTTTGAATTCAGTTACCTAGCAAATAAGGGAGCAGGACTTGACTCGAAAATGGCTACAAGGACACATTTGGGCTCATTTCCCAATTTTTGGGTTTTCAATTACTGTTTTGCTATCGTTTTGTCAGTTGCAATACTATCGATTCTACAATGTTCTTTGTAAGCCATATGCATGAAAACAACATGTGATCCGTTTCTTTCTGAAATGGTACAAATATGATAGGACACATTTGGGGTTCAGTCACGTAACCCAACCGCCCAACCGTGGGAAACAACTGACATGCTTGGTCTTGAACAAAATTGTCAGCGAGGATTGCCTATTTGACACAACAGGCGCAAGCCCTTGGCTAGCACAACATATATCCATTTTGGTGGTTTCGCGTGCAACAGCTACCGGTATGAGCAGTGATATCCGCAGAAACAGTGAGCTGTTGACGCAGGCCTTGCTATTGGACGGGGTGCTCAGCATCTTTGACAGGCTGCGGGGTTTGCATCTTGCTCAATTATGTTTTGTCCAAATATGTGTTGGAAAGTGGGTATTGTGGTATGTGTTACCATACTTGTTGTTTTCGAATTGATGGTATATTCAGCAATCGAATTGTCACGTATGAGTCATAATGTCTTATTGGTTGTCGTATCGGCAGATCCGGCAATCTCGGGAACAACATTGATCTGAAGAAAACTCGTCTCATGAGTTTGCCGTTTGTCACAGGACTACGAACAAGGCCATGTTTGTCTCTCATCAGTGGCTTGGGGTCGGCCATCCAGATCCGTGTCTTCAACAGTTTCGAATCCTGCAAGATGCCCTCCGGAACATTTTGGATGGAGTTTGCAGCTTGCACTTGTTATGCTTGCTAACATAGGTCTAGATTATAGTGTTTTTTTTGGTTTTGTTTTTCATTTCATTTCCGCATCATTTCCTTACATTCCTACCCTATATCCCGGCTGGAACCTCATTGAAACTTAAATTTGTATATCGCACGTGGAACCTTTTTTAAAGGAACCCATGGCGAAGCTGCCATGTGAGCCATAGTCCAAATTCCTTAAAGGGGGATTCCATAGGGGGTTATACAGGGGAGTATTGTAGGGCTTATTCAAGAGGATGTTAAGAATTTAGACATTAAACCTTGAACCCTGAACGTTACGCATAGTACCAGGAATTTAGACTTTGAACCCCAAACCTAAACCCTGATACTATGAGTTTAGACTGTAGCTCATGTGGGCAAAGGCCGGATCTCCGTGGACATGGTCACAGAGGCCCTTTTCGGCTTGTCCAAGGCCATTCATCCTGAGGAGCTGTCCCTGGGTTGTATGTGAATTTACGCTTTAGGGCTAAGGGTTCAGAGTTGAGGGTTAAGGGTTTTACGGTTTACCAAGGGGGCTTCCTGATTTCATTTCTACCAAGGGCTGCTGCTCACTCCTCGTTAAGACGCAGCAACAAGCATTTTCGTTCGGTGTGTGGAGGCTTGCAGCTTGAGTTTCAGAGCTTCAAACAGAAAAGATTCGAGCAACGGATAGGGGTAGCGGAGGCCTTGGCCGGCCTCCACGCGCGGATCTTGCCAAATACTCTAAGAAGTGCCGAAACGGTCCTGGATGCTAGAGGCCTTGTCAGTTGCGCCTCTGAGAGGCCTTTGGACAAGCTCTGAAAGGCCCCACGCTTTGGGAGGGGAGATTCCCAGCCCCAGCAAATCAACTTGAAGCCGGCCCTCCCCCCGACAATCCAGGTTCCGCAGCCCAATTCCTCGCTTCCCACAAAACTTCCCCCAAACCCACCGAAAAACCTTGAAACGCACCAATGGTGTTGGTTAGGGGTATTAAGTATAGAGCTACGCACTAATAGAAAAACAGCCCCGCAGGGGGGTCCCGTACGAGGCCCGTAAGTTCGTTCGGCGCCAGTTCGGAGGCCTGTCCCCAACTCGAGCGCCCACGGGGTTTAAGGTTTAGGGTTTGTTGCGAGCTACTCTGCAAACAGTGGTGATTGGGTTCACGCGACCCTTCAAGTGTCTGGGTGCCTGCGAAGTGCTGCCATGGCCTGACTGTAGAAGGCCATTAAACATATTCACCCACTCCACGGCGTCTGAGGGACCTAAACTCACCATCTTGGTCCATAATATAACGCTTTACAGTCAACGCCTCTTGCCTCTAGAATCCAAGGCCTTGTCAAGACTCTGGAGTCCCAGGGCCCTTTACTTCTGGGAGCCTGGCCTTGCAAGGTTCTAGAGGCAGCGCAGGGTCTACCGCAAACCTTTGATGGAAGAGCGTTGGAGGCTTTGAGAAGCCCCGGGAATTCTTTCTGTTTGGAAGCCTTTGAGAGGCCCGCGAGAGGCACGTGGGATTTATAAAGCAACCAGTACTGGTTGCAAGGAGAATTC